GGGGTAGAGAGGGCCTGCTGGTTTAACAAATCTTGTAAACCTATCTCTCTAAACTATGTTCATGCAACTCTGATAATAAAAACGTAAACTCACAACACACAGCACGGGGGTGCAGGGGGTGCCTAGCTACCCAGCATTCCAGTCCCTGCCTAACACGATTTCACCAGGCTCGGCTGTATGACAGCACATGTCTGGTCAGATACTGCAATATCCTAACATAATGTAATCTCTTCTCCATCAATCAAGTCCACACGACACTTATGTTGGCTGAAAACTATGGTTTCCACATAATGAACCTTACAACTGTGAAAGTATATCAGGGTGTGCTCTGGTGGGGGGTACCTGGGGTACCTTTGTGATCCATATTATTCCCGTGTGCGGATGTGACCACTGTCCAGGTTCTCTGGAAGGAGGGAAGCGTCCAGGGGTTCTTCCCCTCTAGGAAAACGCTCAGGTGTGCTTTCTTCAGTTACTGCTTTGCTCCCAGCATTCCTGCTCTCATCTGGAATCTACAGTATCTCTTATTCAGAGTTTAGGACCAGATGTGTTTGAGAGTTCACAGGGTTATTTTTTTTTCTTTTTTAGATTTTGTCATATTTACATAGACTTTGCCAGTTGAGTATCCTAATCGAAAAACTGTGAAATCTGAAGCTTGAAATTTCACTTTCAAAACGTTTAGGATTTCAGAGCATTTCAGATTTTAAATCAGGGAAGCTCAACCTACATTATATTGTCTATTGGAAAGCTCAGTCTATTCTCAATTGTCTCATTGTTTTTCTTTGCCTTCTGGGTGATTTCTTCACGCTAATACAGCACACGTTCAAAATACAATTCCCATAGGTGCCCATTCTCTTACTTGAGACCTTCTGGTCTCAACTGTTTTGCTGGATGCAACTGTGAATACAGAAGGTCACATTCCCCTCCTTCTTACGGGACGTGGACTCAACACAGGGGCAGAACACACTGGGCAAGGAGGGGTAGCAAGACAGCCTCGGCCAGGAGACCCAGGTGCTGAGAGCAGAGAGCCAGAAGACACTGAGAGTGTGGCTGGGAAGACAAACAAGTAAATTCAGTTACCCCTCTGTAACCATGGGATTCCTATCTGCAGATTCAATCAGCTGCAGAGAAAATATGTGAAGAAAAGAAAAACTGGTGAGCATGTACAGACTTGCTCTGTCACTTCCTGAACAATGTAAGGACCAGCACCATTTCCACGTGTTAGGTATCACAGGTGATCTAAGACGACTGGCAGGAGTGCAGCTTACATGCACGTACTGCAATACCCCACTTTATAGTAGGTATTCTGGAGCCTGAGGGGTGACCCAGAACCAAACCCCTGTGGGCACTGAGCTGGCAACTGAACACTTGCGCAGAGCAGAGCGGGAGCTTCCTCACCTCACCCCTGACGTGCTGGGCTGAGAGACAGGCCGTTCCCAGCACTCCCGTCTCCCGTCTCCCTGGGCCGGCCACAGCATCGCCCGGCCCCAACGTGTGTGCAGCAACCCCTTAACACAGCAGACGTGAAGGCACACTCCTTAGAAAGGCTGCTTACAAGGTGAGCCCTGGGCTGGCATCTGGGAATGGATCCTGAAGGGCCCCTTCCCACCCCTTCCCAGCTAAGAGTGGTCACCGTGTCTGGCCACGCAATGCGGCTTATGCGAAACACCTGCTGGCCTCCCATTCTGAGACGTGGGTCTGCACTAGATAGAGGACGTCTGCATGGCTGGCCCCTGATGGAAACCCTGCACACTGAGTCTCTAAGGAGCTGCCCTGGCCAACAAAGGACACACTCAGGGTCACAATATGCTGCCCGAGGAATTCCGTTTTGTGCGACTCCTCTGGGAGAGATTCCCAGCAGCTTCTGCCCTGTTTCCCCTGGACTCTGCCCCACGTGCCTGTTCCCTTTGCTTTCTCACTGTCTCCTCTCCCTGGAACAGTCACCTCCCTGTGAGTACACCCACATACGAGTCTTAAGAGGACTGCTGGCAAATCATTGAGCACAGCAGCGGTTTGATGGCTTCCAACAGTTTGACAGTCCAAAACGTTTCCAGGTCCTTGGAAAATGCAAGGCTCTCCTATTAAGACTGATGAAAGAGGACCAAGAAACAGGACAAAGAAACATAACATATTCCCACAGGACCTTCAGCTAGAAAGGAAAAAAATAGTCTAGGGCCAGCAAACAGAAAGTGAACAGGTCTATGGGTTGGACAGAATTGCTGCCCCCATGTGAGTACTGGGATGTGCGGGCTGCAGGCTGACAATGTTTGGAGGAAACATACACTGGAGGTATGTAAAGCCGCAGGGCAGGGACGTGCACACCAGTCATGAAAACATTCCGTAACACGGCAGGGACGTGCACACCAGTCGTGAAAACATTCCGTAACACGGCAGGGACGTGCACACCAGTCGTGAAAACATTCCGTAACACGGCAGGGACATGCACACCAGTCGTGAAAACATTCCATAACATGGCAATGGTTGGTGAATCTGAAAACACCAGAGGGAGTTTTGGTATTACTCTGGAAACTTCCCTGTATGTTCAAATTTACTTATTTTGAAATTATTTTTAAAAATCACACTAATCAGGGCTGGCATTGTGGCGAGGCAGGTAAAGCCGAGACCTGCGAGGCCAGCATCCCATATGGGCACCAATTCATGTCCCAGCTGCTCCACTTCAATCCAGCTCCTTGCTAATGGCCTGGGAAAAGCAGCAAAAAGATGACCCAAATGCTTGGGCCCCTGCCACTCACGTGGGCGATCCAGATGAAGCTCCCTGGCCCAGCACTGGCCGTTGAGGCCATCGGGAGTAAACCAGTGGGTAGAAGAACTCTCCTTCTAACTCTTACTTTCAAAATAAACAAACTGGGGCTAGCGTTGTGGCACAGTGGGCTAAGCCTCTGACTGCAGCACAGACATCCCATGTAGGCACCAGTTTGTGTCCTGGCTGCTCTTCTTCTGATCCAACTGTTTATGGCCTGTGAAAGCAGTGGAAAATGGCCCAAGTACTTGGGCCCCTGCACCTATGTGAGAGGCCCAGAAGAAGCTCCTGGCTGCTGGCCTCCAATCAGCCAGGCCCAGCCCATGCAGGGAGTGAACCAGCAGATGGAAGACCTTTCTCTGTTTATCCCTCTGTCTCTCAAACAAATAAACAAACTCATTAAAAAAAAAAAAAAACCCTTGCTCACGTTTTGCTCTGGCGGAGGGAGGCTGTACTAAATGTTCACCTAACCTCCCCTCTGATGGACAACACGTTCTGACTTACAAACCCAAGCCTATGCTGATCTTTATCAGAGAGGAGTGTGTCTCCTCAGCTGTCAGGACCCCCACACCCCGTTTGCTTTCCTCTGACACAGCGTGGACAGGACAAGGCAGCAAGGGCAGAATGCCCACCCCTTCCCCACGACGCCCCAGGCACACGCACCCAAGCCCAGCGCGCCCAGTGGCCTCTGGGCCCTGAGAGCCTGGCAAACCCGCGGCAGCCTCACTTCACGCCTCACTTCACGCCTCACTGATCGCACACTTTCTCCCCTCCACGCCTCTCCGAGCTGGCCGGCTGCCCCTCCTAACTGCAGCTTCCTTCCGAGCGCACTGTGCGCTCCATCCTTCACACACTGGACTGCTCTTCTGCCCAAGTGGACCCGCACTGCTGGCGCCCTGCAGCTCTGCTCCTGCACGCAGGCCTTCCGGTTCTGTCTGTAGGGACGCCTCAGAAGTTCATGGAAATTGTAAACCAAAGGTAAGTGTCTCTGGACACAAAAAAGTATTTGGAATCCACGCACAGTTCCTCGGATATGCATTCCCCATGAACTTCTGGAACACTGCGTGAGTTCCAAACTGCATGCCATCCGCCAGCCTACCAGTGCTCAAGAAGCGTGCGCCTAGGTGACGGCACACCCTCGGTGGGCATCCCTAATTAACACTACCCGTCGGGGCACCTGGAAGAACGCCTTCCGTTCCAGGCAACGAAGTCCAAACCTCCGGCGGGGTCCAGCACAAGCCCCAGTAAGCAAGAGAGCTCAGATGTATCCCCAGGACGGCCAGACCCCGAAGGGCCCTGAGCGCCGGGTGGGCTGCGCAGAGCAAGCATGCCTCAAGCCCGCAGCCGACTCCTCCCCGCGCGGGGCTCACGCCCACCTCACGGCCTGCTCGTCACACGCCCGGCGCTTCTCGCAGAGGGCTTCCACCTGCGGGCTCCCCGCACCGTCCATCCACCCCTTCTCAGCAGTCAAACCCACGGACCTCGCCGGAAACCAGCCCACCGCGCCAACCCCCGCTTTCGGTCCCTCGCAGCTCGAAGAGCCTCCCGGGCCGTCCCCGCAGGCAGACACCCTGCTCAGAGAGGCCAGCCTCGCCGCAATGCCGGGTCGCGGCGCTGCCCGCGGTGCCCAGCACACGAGGCCGAGCGGCGATGGCCACGGGAGGCAGCCTCCACCGTGGCCAGCTCGGTTCCACCACCGAAGCCGACGACGCAGACTCCCGGCATCACCCGGCTGCAAGGATCTGCGCGAAAGGGCCCCTGGGGCTACTTCCACTGCCCCCAGGCCCCAGCAGAGCCCACCCCGCGGTTAGACACGTGACTGACTGCTCCACCAGCTTAACCTACCGAGCTAACTCAGCAGCGAGCGGGAGCGCCTCTCCAAGCCCTGGAAGCCCGAGGACCCCGACCAGACGCCTGACAGGCGATGACAGGCAAGCAAAGGCCTTGCCCTCGGGGAGGTCGACCTCCTTAGCATCCCACCTGTCACCCGGCAGCCGAAGAGGCAGCCCCGGCCGGCACCCAGGCTGCGCAGGGGAGGAGTCCTCCAAGAACCCGCTCACTCTGCACAACTCCGTGCAGCGACTTCTGCGTCCCCAGCTTACACACGGCAAAGGAAGCCGCAGCGACAAGGACATCGGGGGGCTGCAACCCCCAGGAAGAGGCGGCGGCGCCGGCGGGCCCCGCGCTCCCGCCGGCGAGGCCGCGCCGCCCCCCGCGCCCGGGCCCCGGGGAGGTGCCTCACCTGCTGCAGAGACGCGCAGCCCTGACACCGCGAGAGGTCAGCGGCCGTCCCGGGGGCTGCCGAGTGCGTCTCGCCCGGCATCATGGTGCCGCCACCGGGCCCGGTGGGCACGCGCGTCTCAGGGACCCACGGCTTCGGCCCTGTCTTGCCTCCGCTGATGCCGCCGGGGCCGCCGCCTGCCAGGCCGCTTCCCGCCGGGTCCGGGCGGGTCCATCCGTGCACAGAGGTCCCCGTGGAGCTTGCGAAGGGCTCTCCGAAACGGAGCCGCCTCAGGCGCTGGCGAGAAACGCTACCCGGCGCGGCCCCCGAGCGCGACGCAGTCCAGCCAGGACCCCGCCCCGCCCTGGCTGGCCCCGCCCCCCGCCGCCGCGCAGGGCTGCCCGAGGCACTGCCTGAACGCAACGGGGAGACGCGGCGCGGAACACGTGCCCAAAGGACAAACCAACGCCCGCAGAGGCGTCACGTGTGCAGTTCTCCCTTCGACGGGGTCATTTATTGCCAGCCTACCGTACAACAGGCCTTACATAGACACCTAAAGGCACCCGCGGTGGGCGAGGTGCCCGCCGATGACGTATTATTCAGGCGCCCGCCAGAGTGGAAGGACCCCCGCGTCCCGGTAAGCAAAATGCTGGATTTTTATAGCCCCGTGGGAGCCCTGCTGTACCCCGGGCCCCTCCCGTGTCCGGGAGCGGGGGGAGGAAGGATACAGTTCCCGGCGCGCCGCGCGGCGGGCGGAGACCGAACGGTGCCTCTGGCCACGTCCGGTGCGATTCGGTGCCGGCTGCTCGGGCTCCGCCGCTAATGTCCGCTTCCCGTCAGTCTCGCTACTCTGGCGAGTTTCTGTGCCCATTGCCGCGGCGGCCTCCAGGGCCCGACTGTGGGCGCCGCCACCCAGCGAGGGCCGAGCGCAGCGCCCGGCAGAACCTTGTCAGGCCCGTTGGCCACTGGCCAGCCTGATAACCGTGTCCTGGGAGAGGGGCAGAGGGAGAGGCCTCGCGTCGGCTCGGGGCCTGGTGCTGCGGCGAGGACCGAGGTTTCCCGCTCGTCGGGAGGCACGGCTCGTCGCCGGCAGCGGCTTGCTCGGAGGCCCCGGAGTCCGGCCTCGCCCTCGGCGGAGCATCGCAGGTGCCGGGACCCTGCAGCCGGAAACACCGCTTTCGGAGCAGCCTGGGTTTTCTTGAGGTTTCCTGCCTCTTTCCTTGCTTACGCTCTGGGTACCACGCACTGCCCGGTGGAGGGGGCAGCTCCGTCGGTGGTGGCCCGATTGGCGGGCTTCGGCGGCGGAGCGAAGGCAGCCCCAGAGCGCGCGGGAGAGGAGGGTCCAGGGAGCAGGGGGGTGCGCAGAGGCGCAGGCCCGGTGACCCACCCGGCGGAGGGGCAGCCGCGTGGCTCCCGGTGGCCTCGCAGCTCCGACTTCTGGCCCCGGCGAGCTCGTCTTCACGGTGACTTCTCTTTGACGGAAGGCTTCCCAGGTGAGCGCTTCTGCCAGGGAACCGGGAGGAGGCGGCGGCAGCGCTGCACGAAGCGCCGGGGAGCTGGGCTGCGTGCTGCTGCCTCTGCCCCGTGCCCCTCCCTTCCGGCCCTCGGGCCATGGTGGTACCTCGTCAAACACAGCTGCACTTGGACTGCAGTGAGTCTCCTTTGTAATGCCACAACGCGCTGCACATAGTAGGTCTAAATGGATTCGCTGCGACTCGTTGGAGGTGCAGGGAGCGGGGCATCTCCCAGAATGAACGTGCAGTCGTTTCTGCCTTTCTCGGGGCCACGTCTCAACCCCCTGGGAGAGAAACCAGAGCCTGGTGCGCCAGGGCCGGGGCCAGCAAGCTTCCTGTAAAGGCGCCCAAGAAATGGTTCAGACATCGCGGGGCGGAGGCCCTGCCGCCTGCTCCTCCCCGTCATGGCACACACGACTGCGCCACCTGCTTGTCTTGGTCGTTTCTGCTCTGTGAAGCTGTTTTGCCAATGGGAAAAGCGTTCTGAGTGTACGTGCTGCCCGCTAAGAGCAGGGGTGGCTGCCTACCATCACGGCCTCTGATGGAGACCAGTGCTGGAGGATGCTCCCTCGTGACAGGGCCCTGTGGAGACAGAGCAGGCCGTCCTTCCCATCCCAGTGTAGAGAACTTGGCTGCGTCGCGGCCCTGCCCCAGGACTTAGAGGCCGCGTTTTGAACGTGATGAGTTACTTCGCTTCACAAAGGAGATTTCAAACAACTCGCGGGGACTGTGGTGTGGAATCTATTAGCTGCTTGTAGGCAGACGTGACAGCGCACCAGAGACCAAGTAGGAAAACACACGGCCTGGCCAGGGCAGGAGCAGTAGGCGTGTGCAGGAGGACAGGAGAAGAGCGGGGCCCAGGGACGGGGCGGTGGAGCCGCTGGCGCCCGTTTGCCAGTCGTTAGGACGAGCTGAAATGGCCTCCAGGACGCCCCTCCCGCCACAGGGCCACCCGGGGATGCCGCCACTGCTCTCAGCAGCAGAGCTCACCGCGGCCACAGCCACGGTCCATACAGGCCAAGGTGCGACTGTGCCAGCGGCAGGCCTCGGTCTGCAGGTGTGTAGGATGCCGGAGCCATGATGTCTTCCGCTGAAATGTCAGGGAGAGGCCCAGAGGCCTCTAACAGCTTCCCCAGTCTGAGGCCTCCTGTCAGCAGCAGCAGGAAGGCGCTAAGGCACAACCTCGCACAGGTAACAAGGAGAGGAGAGTTTTTCTTAAAGCAGCTGTTCTTGGGCTTCCAAGAGAACATTCGTGTCTCTCTGTCCGAGCTCCGAAGACCCGAAGGACCCTCTGCCCGCCGCCCTGTGCCTGTCTTACCCAGAGGGCTGGTCAGGGAATCTGCTGGGGCAGGCTCAGCTCTTGCCCCACACCCTCCTCACGTCTGGGTACCTGGGAACTAAAGCTTTGGAATCTGACGCGATTGAGAGGGGAGTGGTGATTTGTCAACGCGCGCTGCCACCAGAAACCTAATAGGTTTAGTGAACGGTGAGGAGAACGCAAGGTGAAGCCAGCTGTCTGGAAGTTCTTACTACCTGCTTTGTGCAGAGCGATCCTCTCCCCTCCGGCCCCTCCCCACAGGAGAAGTGACCCTGTGACCTTTCAAAGGCTGGTGGTGGGGCAGGCATTGACGTAGCAGTTAAGCTGCTGGGGGCCTCGCCTGCAGCCCGTGTCCCGTGCCAGGTCCGAGGCCGGTCCCCACTCCCACTTCCAGTCCCTACCAGTGCGCGTTCTGGGAGGCAGCAGTGAGGGCTCAAGTACTTTCCTCTGCCAGCTGCGTGGGAGACCCGGATCGAGTTCCGTGCTGCTAGCTTCCGGCTGGCCCAGACCTGACTGTCCTGGACATTTGGGGACAGTCCCAGCAGATGGGATTGCTGTGTCTCTATCTTTCAAATAATGTTTTTTGTAAAGGAAAACCGTTGCGAAGCAATCACACATAAAAACCTGAGAAAGGATTCCAGGAGTAGTTTGCCACTGCAGGGTCTGAATTTGCAGCCTGGACGCAGTCTGGCGCATGCCCACAAGGTGGCCGTCTTTCCCTGCCTGTGCTTTAGAAACGGAATTCCCCGCCTTCCCTGTGACACATCAGACCCCCACCCCGGGAGGGCAGCAGGGTGCTCTGGGCACCTGGTGAGCAGGGCATTTGTGGGAGCTTCCTCCCTGTCTACGTGTGGGTGCCGCCATGCTTACTCCTAAGCGGCCCTGGCTCCTGTTTTTTTCAACACAGCCTGCTTTGGTGAGGGCCTTTGTATCTGTCCCAGGGGTGGGCAGTTTCTGCAGCCCCAGCTGTCCCCTCAAGGGGCGTGGAGGTGGGGCTAGGAGTCCGTGTGGGAACTTGGGGCTCAGTGCCAAACGTGGGTGATTGTTAAGCAGGTGTTTACAGGGCCGCCCCGTGGGGTGGGACAGCGCTCTGCTGTGCCGTGCAGGCTTTCTTAGCAACCTGTGCCCCCAGTGTCGGGCAGGGAAGAAGGAAGGTGGAAGAGGGGGACCGAGTCCTTGGAGGGGAGTTGCTGTGCCAGGGCGTGGCCACCGCCCAGAGGAGAGAACAGCCAGTGAGACGCCACCAGGTAGACCTCCGAGAGCTGGGTGTGTGTCCTGGGTGGGAGGTGGAGAGGCTTGGGGCAGTGGGTGCGTCCGTGCACTGAACCATATGTTCACCAGCACGGGGGTGCTGTGTGCCAGCCACAGACAGCCCCTCGGGGGAGATCCCAGGACCCAGCAGGACAGCTGAGGGAGGAGAGGAGGCCCAAGGTGTGCGCTGTCGCCAGGGCTGGGCAGGCGAGCTGCAGCCAGGAGTGAGGTGTCGCTCTTCCAGCCCCATCAGGGGACCAGCCGTGGGCAGCGGAAGGGCATGGCTTTGCCCGACTGTGTCTGCAGGCCCCCATGGCAGCCGATGGCAGCCTCTCTCCAAAACCTGTCCCGTTTCCTCAGGCGTCCAGCATCTCCCCATGGCTAGCGTGCCCTGTCGGGTGATTGCGTTCCACCAGGTGAGCCAGCAGAGAAGGGCTGGCCCACGCGTCCGCCCCGTCCTCATCACTTCCTGCTGACTCTCAGGCCCTGAGCCTGGGGCTAAGTCACTACCCCAGCCCCAGCCCTTTGCTCTTGCTCCGTCTTACGGGAGCTGCGTGGTAGCCTTGCCCGCCAGAGCCCTGTGCAGCCGGCCACCATGCTGGGAGGTGACCGGAAGACAGAGGAGGGCCCAGGGCTCCTGCTCTCCCTGCTTTCACGGGGCAGTGGCAGCTCACCCCTGGAGCAGCTTGGGAGTCCCACCTGCAGTTCCGCTGACCCTTGCAGAACCAGCTTCCTGGCCGCCTCTTCAGACCCCCACAAAGGCTGGACAGGCAGCTCCCAGGGCACAGACCCCAGCCCAGCAGGGCGCTCCCAAGAGGCCTGAGTGTGAGCTCTGGGCCCCTCCCTGTTGCTGTGTTTTGCACATTCCTTGCCCTTGTCTTTGTTCCCTCGGGGGCCATGGCTCCTTGCAACTCCCTCGTGATGCCCTGCTGCTCTCCCTGCCCCTCCTCCCTCCTCCCTCCGGACATCTGTGGACTGAACCCCAGGCACCAAGGCACCACCACTGGCTCCCTCCCACCCCACCCCCCACCATAGAGCAGTGTGCTGAAGGTGCAGGACCTCCGCCGGCCCCTTCTCTGCTCTTGGGCTGTGACGGGAGCCCTCGATCAGGAGCCTGGAAGGCCATTGCTTGTGCCCCCACAGCCAGCACGCTGGCTGGTGGATGGTGACTGGGCTACTGGAGTGAAGGGAAAGCCCCCACCCCCAACCCCCTCTGTGTGGGAGCAGGTGCTTGGCAGGGAACAGGGCTTTGTGTGGGCTCCGAGGGACAGGAGACCCAGGATTGCAGCACAGGAAGAGAGGGCCGGAGCACGAAGCCTGCAGAGAAGGGCGGTGACGCATCTGTCCGTGTCCATCGGTGCTGGAAGTGCCTCGTGAGAGCGCCATGCCCAGTGCCACCTTTCCAGGTTACAGTGTTGGGCACGTGTCTGCATCTCCCTCCCACCCAGGGGCACTGGCCGTGTAGGGGTGCCCAGCTCTCCAGCTCACGGCCTTCACAGTGCACACTCCAGGAGGGCATTCTAGGGATAGATCAGGTGTCCACATGCCCTTCCC